GAGTTCCGGCAGGCGCTGGGACGGGGCACGTACGGCAAGGTCAAGGCGGCGCGCGAGCGCTCCGGGAGGCTGGTAGGTGAGCGGGGTCCGGCCCCGATCCTGCCACCCTCCCCCTCCCCCTCCCGGCCCATTCCCCATCCCTGGTCCTCATCTGGGCCCCAGTCCTTGCCCCCTTGATGCCCCTTCCTCCCCATCCCTGGTCCTGATCTTGCCCTGATGCCTGCCCGGCCCCTATCCTTGACCCTTGATGCCCCTTCCTCCCCATCCCTGCTCCTGATCTTGCCCCGACGCCCGTGCCTCAATGCCTGCCGAGCTGGGATCCTTCCCATCCCCTGGCTCCTATTCTTTTTTGTCTCTTGATGCCTCTCCTCCCCATCCCTGGTCCTGATCTTGGCCCCCAGTGCCTGCCTGCCAGACGCCAATCCATGCCCCTCTCCCTGGTCCTGCTCCCTGCCCCCCATCGCAGCCCCAGGCACCTCTGCCTTTGCCCGGCAGCGGCAGCGTGGGGAGCAGGGGGTCTGTGTGCCCTGAACCCCTTTGCATTGCCCCTTCCCCTCCAGCTTAGCCCTCACCCCCGTGCAGTGTCTGAGGGCCTGAGTGCAAGCGGCGGCAGGCTGCCCCCGGGGAGCAGGAGCTCTGCAGCCAGCCCCAGCCTCCTGTGGAGGCTTTCTTTGGAGTGCAGGAGAGGGTGGGAAACCTTTCCGGGGGGGGAGCAAAACCACCCCAGGCAGCTGATCCACACCCTGGATTGCACCAGGGCCTGGCGCTGGCACAGGCAGGGTGAGTGTGCATAGCCTTGCCACACTGCTGGTGCTGGGTGAGTAACGCCTCGGCAGCTGCTTCATCACAGCCAGGGGCTTGGGCTGCATGCTGTGAGCAGCCAGCCCTAGAGCAGGGGCAGGGGCAGGGGCAAGCCCCTCTTGGAGCACGGAGGGGCTGCTAGGATGGCTGTCCCAGGGTCCTGTTACCAGGGGGCTGTGGGAGGTGGTGGCATTGGCCAGGGGGAATCCCAGGGGATGACTGAGTTCCCTGGCAAAATTTCCCCCCCCTTTTTTGGAAAACGCAAGCGGCAGCCAGGCCAGGCTTTGCAGCCGTGTTTACTCTGCTTGCTAGAATAGATGTGACATGAATTGCCTGCCAGTGCCACAGCCTTTGTGGCTGGGACTCATTTGAAATGCAAAACATCGGCTCCCATTGGCCAGGCTGAAGGGAGACTATTGTCCGGGCCACCGGGACTCCAAGCTTCCCTCTCTCTGGCCAGGGTCTGATCTGGATCTGCTTTACTCGCCTATGAATCGGGCGTAACCTGGTGGAACTGGAAAAATCCCCCAGAGAGGAAGGGACCAAAATCTGCCCCTGAAATCTTTGGGCACAAGGCAGGCATTTTTTTGAGGCCAGCCTACTACCAGATCGCTGCATGGAGGCATCCGTCTTGCTCTGCTTTCTGAGCCGTGCTGTGCGTGGGCTTGGCAAGGTCGGCAGCTTCAAGAACTCTTTGCCCAGCACTAGCATTGTGCTGGTAGGTTTTGGAGCACTATTGAGTGGTTAGCATGTTTCTTTTGTGGGCAGAGATTACAGCTTCCAGTCACACACTTGACAATCAAAGTCAGACTTCCTCCTGGAAAGGGGTTTGCACATACTCGGAGGTATGCCAGCAGTAGAGAACAAACATTGCCCTTCAGGCTCTTGCTCTGTAGCGTTTCAGCTGACTTCAGATGTTGCAGAGTCCAAGCAGCTTCCAAACTCCTAATTTGTCTAATTGCTCCTGACTTTCAGGGTCTGCTTAAGTGAAAGAGTAGTGCAGCAAACTGGCTTTTGAAACCTATTATAGGTTTGCTGCGAGCATCACTTAAAAACGGAGTCTGTAAGCACTAGTGTCTAGGATTTGGTCTCTGTTCTGGAAGCAATACTGCATCCTGTCTAAAGCTAGGCCAGAAACTTCCCTGTGGTGGTTTTTGGGTAAGTGTGTGTGGCCTGAGATCACATACCATCACCCACAGCCTTGAAATACTGAGGAGGCCTAATGGGCAGTGAATCCTTCCAGGGAGGGGAAATCTGCCTGCCCTGACACCCTGTGGTGTGAGATGTGATCCATGGAAGGCAGCTTCACAAACAGGCCCCACACCCTGGTCTCGTGGGGATAAACGTCAAGAGACCAGCTTCAGTAACCTAGTTGGCCTGACAAGGCATTGCATTTGGGAGGGAGGGTGGGTGTGGGATGCGGTCACTAATGTGCCAGAAAGTCATGCAAAGAAAAACAGCTGTGAATTGGATAGGAGCTGTCTCTGCATGGCATGGAGCAGCTCATATTTAACTTAAGGAAACATTTGTGCAGGTGGAAGCATGGGTCTGTCTGCTGGCTCTGGAGATGCGCTGCCCAGCTGCGCTGTATCAATGCTGCCTCCCAACCCTTTGGCCTGGCACGATCCTTCTTGTTGGCATGGTGTCCCTGGCCTACTTCTTACTAGGCGTTGGGAACCAGCAGAGAGCAAGAGTCTAGTGCCAGCTGTCATCAGGCCTGCCTAGCATCTAACACTTCAAATGCAAGCTGTCTAGGACAGGGACTGCATCCGGCCAGCACAAAGAGCGCTGGCCTTACAGCATTATCATAATGCAAATAGCAGATGTGGGCCACTGAATAACCAAGGGATGGCGAAGACTGCCAGTGCCTCGCGTAGTCTCACACACACACACACACACACACACACACACACACACACACACACACACACACACCCCCCCTCAAAAAAAACCATACTCCACACATCCTTGTCTGTCCTGTCCCACCCCCACACTTGAGCAGTTATAGACATGTCTAATCTTCAGCCTGTCCTGAGCTGAGTAAATATTTGTTCATTCTTCAGATGATTTTCCCTTTCCGAAACCCCAAGATGTAAGGACATGTGCTGCTCCTTCATTCTGTTGTGATCCTCCTCATGGGCCGCATGCAAAGCTGAGGCTATTGGCATAAACTCTGGTGCTGAAATGCCTTTGGGCAGAGGTTTGCCTCTGGCTCATCAGAAGCTGCCTCTGTCTGATTAACTTAAAATCCCCAGTCATCCGTCCTCTCAACTGGCTGCCCGCTCCTTCCCCTTAGCAGGGCTTGGACAGCTCAGAGCTGAAGCAGACCTGGCTGTTTTCTTTAGCAGCTTAAAGGAAACACCATGCAAATGGTTGGCTTGGGTGGATTTTCAGTGAAGTGTGGACTGCTGGAAAGATATGGGTTTTCAGCTGGAAATCCTTTAGCTGAAGGGCTTCCCCTGCCCCACAGCAAAGAGCCCACTGCTTTTTTTTATTTATTTATTTATTTTTTTTACTCTGCATGTCCTTCGTGATCTCGCTGGAGATGGTAATTGCCTCTTTCATCTGCATCTGATATGAGGTCCCAGTGAAAGTGCTGCCCATAGAAAGGACTGGCCCCTGCACCTGTTCTTTCCAGCATCTGCCCATAGCATTGCCTCCAGTTTAGCTTTCACTGCTTGGATCCCAGCCAAGCTAAACAAGAGGCCTGTTTCTATGGTGCTTGTTCGCTGTATCTGATGTACCCCTGGGCCTGCCTGAGGTGGAGGGGAAGGGGCACCTGGAACAGTTAAAAATAGCAGTGCCTTCCTTTTGATCTTCCTTTTACCAAAAGTACGTTGCACTCTTCCACAATGCGTGAGAGGCCATGTTTCAGTAGGCATGTGGCCTTGTGCTCGTGGTTTGGAACCACTTTTAAAGCATCCAGTGGGCTGGCGACTCGATAAGACCTTTCATCACTTATTCAGCATACCCTGTCTGACCAGAGGCCTCGTCAAACCTGTCTCATTTCAGAAATCAGTGCCAAGCTGGCAAGCTTTAATGGCCAGCAGAGTGCCTGGTATGCTGGAGAGTCCAGACGTTGTCTGGTATGTGAGATGGAGCATGTTCTGTCCTCCACAAACACGGCTCGTGGGTTAGGTGGCATGTCCTCTTGAGCCTTCAGAGTAAGCTGCCCAGTGGTCCCGCTTGATCCCCAGTGGTATAGCTGGTAACACCGTGGTGGTAACCACAGTGGGGTGAAGGAGCTATGCAGAAGAGTACCCTATCAGTGCTGCTGGTCTTGCTGGTAGGACTGGGGAAGACTTGCTCATGACACAGACTTGTCTTCCTAGTGTAACTGCCTTGTTGCTCGCACATGCGGTGTGTGTGTAGCAGCTTCTCTGGTACTGTGAAGCACACCTGAGGGTCTGCTGGACTCACTACCACTTGCCCGTCCAAACTACACATCATTGGAGATGGGAAGTGAACAGCAAGAGAACCTCTATATCCTTGCTGATTTTTGTTTGCAGCCCTTCAGCTCTTACATTAAGCAATGTCACTAAGTGCTGTAGGAAACGCGCTTTCCTTAATGCCATCCTCTTTCCTCAATATTAACAGTTGAGCATCATGATTGCAATAGGCAAATGTGCTTGTCCGACCCTGCTGAAGCCTTATCTAGAACCTTCCTGTATCTGGAGGCTTGCAGCCATTCATCCTGCCTACAAGGCCATGGGGTCTTGCTGCGAGAGAAGTCACGAGACGGGTATGAGCAATAGCTCTTCATTTGGCATGTGCTGATGTAGCTGGTGGCTGTGTCCTGTCCGGGCAGCCTGAATGCCAGGCATTCCAGCCGCATGTTTCTTGAGGTGAATGGGGCAAGCGGGTGACTCGCCGTTGGATGCTTCGGGGGCATGGGAGGGAGGAAGCAGCCTAGTCTGTTTGCATAAAGCCAGTCGGGCAGCTGGTCCTGCCAGATGGCATATCCAGTACTGGGGCACTGAGGCAGAAAGAGTTGAAGGTTAACCTGTGAACCTAGCACAAGGGTTGCCAAGTGCATGCATCCTGCATTGAGAGCTCTTGATAAGTATTGATTGCTTAGTTTCTTGTAACTTCCTTGAGAAGAGCCTTTGGGTTCAAACAGTCTAACTGGAGGCAGGGGATACTAGTGAGACGCAAGCAAGGCAAGGACCAGCTTGTGACATGCTGCTGATCCCATGCAATGGGGGCTGGACTTTGAGAGAGACCCACTTCCCTCTGGATAGGACGACCAGGCATCTCCCGTAGGTTGCTCCAGATACGGCGCGTGCACATCTCTCCAGTAAAGGCACTGAGATGGCAGGCTGTTGCTCGCTGCTGTGGTAACCCCTAATTCATTATGAGTGCGTGCCTGGCTCTAGCTCAGCCATTGGTTTATTTTGGGAGACGTTGTTCAGACGGCACCAGGGGAAGAAAATAGCGGTGATGTAACAGCAATAGCCAGGATGCAAATGCAAGTCCCCTGTGCCCCTGTTCTGCGCTGGGAGCCGCTTGCTGGAAGGCGCGCACCTCCAGCGCCTGCATCCTTCCCACACGCAGCGCATTCGAGGCGAGGGGCAGTGTTGGGCGTGAGTCTAGACGGTGGGTCACTGCTTTGACAGGCTGGGCATGAAGAGGAATGTGGACTGAAAGGCATCCCTGAATCCCAGGGAGGCAACCCACTGAGCATCTGTCTGCCTCGCCTGTCAGCAGATAACCTGTGTGACGATCCCCTTCCCCTTCGTTAAAGGGAACACCAGCCCTGAGCAGAGGGGGGAGGCGGTGCGGCCGAACGGGGCCCCCGGCCCTGTTGCTGGGAGACCTGGCATTCTGCATCCTCCGGGATCCTTTTACAGGATTAATGCTGTTCCGCATTCTTGTCTGATACAAAACCCGAGGTTCTGCTGGATTCAGTTGTAAATCCAACCCGAGGAGGACATTGTCTCTCTCCAATCTCTTTTGAAAGGGGGATTACAGGTCATCTATTCTCCAGCACTCGCTTTTCATTCTCCTCCCCTTTCCAGCTCCTTGTGGAGGAGCCTTTGTAATAATGAAGAAATCCGAGCGAGCCCTGGGACGTGGGCCCTGTGCACTGGAGGGAAGTCCTGTGTTTACTGCTTGTGCCTCTGTCACAAGGGGAACGTTAGCAGGAACTGGTCGGCTGCTCCTTCCGTCCCAGACTTTCCCTTAACAAGTTTGAGTAATTTGGCTCCCGAAACAAATAGTTGCAGGGGGAAAGCAAACCTGTTTTTCATTTGCACCACACCAAGATGCTGTTATCTTCCAAGTCATGTGTGCAGGTCACATTCCTTTCACTGGATGTAATCCTCCGGGGATTCCAGTTCGGGACACTAGTCCAACAGTGTGGCCAGCCTAGCCATCATTGGCAAAGGAGGGTCACGGTATCTTTTGAGAAGCGCTGGAGATCTGCTGTGGGGTGGCAGAAATTAGCAGCGTGTGGGTGGTGGGGAGCAGAATGGTTTTGGGGGACAAGGACGCTCTTTGGATATATCTTGCTAAAAAGCTGGGGGCAGTTCCAGCGTGATTATTGGAGTACTGGTGTATGGGAGACGAGTCCTGGGCCTCTACTAAAACACCCTGTCCAAAATAAGCAGCAGGGCGTATAGACCAATGGGCTGGTCCTCTGCTCCACATGGTAAGGACGGCCTTCTGGATAAACGACTAGCCTTGCGTGATCTCATGCAAGCAGGCTTGTTCCTGGGCTTTCCCCATTTCTAACTTTGAGGGAGCAATGCCTCTGTCCATTGATTCGGCTTGCCAGTCCTCCAGGGCAGGGACTGTCTTGTGAGGTCTGTGCAACATCTGAGGCTTGAGGCAAGTCCATGCAAGCAACAAGACCAAGGCAGGAGTGTTACCTACCGCTAGACTAGTCTGGGTGCTCCAATCCATGTGAACAGAAAGTGGCAACAGGCTTTTGAAAGACCCTTAAGTGCCAGCCCTAACGTTTTGTTTCTTTGTGCTCTTACTCACAGGTTGCTATCAAATCGATCCGGAAAGACAAAATTAAGGATGAGCAGGATCTTGTCCACATCCGGAGGGAGATCGAGATCATGTCCTCCCTTAATCACCCCCACATCATTGCTATCCATGAAGGTAAGAGCTTCTGATGTGCACGTGGGGGTGGGCGTTTCACTCGCCGCGGCCTGCTTTGGCTGTGCGTAGTATGTTTTAACGCTTGTTATGGGATGCTACCGGTGATGAGACCTTCCCTTCAGAGATGCAGGGATTCCCAGCTGGGCAGCAAAAATGGACGGTGACTTGCTGACACGCTTCTGGGGTTTGGGATGGCACAAGTGAGGGGGCTAAACATTACTCCTGAAGCGCCCGTGCTTACCTAATTAAGCTGGCACCGACTGTTTGTTTTGCTCAGTGCTGGCTCCCCGCATCCTGCATGCTGCAGTCCGTCGGACTCTGACCTAGCCTTGCTGGCTTTGTGGAAAGTAGATCCGAGTTGCATCCAGCCAGGAGAATGGGGGATTTCTCCTTTGCTAACTGGAAACGAGGCAAATGCCAGCCCCCCCCCGCCCCCCCAAGAAGGGCAGAGCTGTCTGCAGGCTGTGGATTTTTGCAGGGAAGGGCAGTGCAGGGCTTTCCCTCTTCTTTTTTTTTTTTTTTTTTTTTTTTTTTTTTTTTTTTTTTTTTTTTTTGTAAACTCTCCCCCTCCAAAAATGGAAAACAAGCTTTTCAAAACAGGAAGGCGGAAGCTCTTCACTTCTATTGCACAAGCCGGTGGTGACTCAGCAGCCATGGGGCAGGGAGCTGAGGGTTGCTAGGTGCTCTGGTTTCCCTGATGTTTTGGCTTTTTGAACTTCACTCTGCATGTGTGTTTGTACACAAGTCCTTGGGTGGCGGGAGGGGAATACCAGCTCTAAAAATAACTGCTGCCCCACTCGCCTGAGAGATGTGGAGGACAAAGCCACCCAAGGGCTTTGGAAGCCTTTGCATCTGCCTGCAGTTAAGGTAGCTTGCAAGCCAGCAACACTAACTGCAGCTTCTAGCCCCAGGGTGGGTTTGTAGTGCATGGAGCTCTAAAACCTGGTAATGCTTGCTTTCATGTCCTGCCCTCCAGACTGTGCCAAGACTGTAAAACCTGCAGTAGCTTTAGCTGAACGAGCTCATCTAGGGGGGTGCAGTCCTTTCCTCCCCAGGTCTGAGCTGAAGCCCACTGCGTAGGCTGGGTGAGGAGAGCTTGTGGACAGCTGCACCATAGGATGACTTGGACACAGACCTCTGCTTTTGCCAGGGTTGTCAAAGCAACAACCTTTAACAACTCTGAATTTGGAGAAAGGCAGGGGGGGGCCTTCTTGGAGCACGTCTCAAATGAAGTCAGCCTGGTGCTGCTTGAACACGTCTTAGTCCCTTGACTCCAAAATGGAACAAAACTTGCATTCTCTAGCGTAGCTGGCTCTCTCGGGTTTTTATAGCTTTATTGTGCCTGGCACAAGCTGCGTGGCCAATGTCTAGTATTTCTACTTCCTCGAGGGTGTACGTGAGGTATCTAGAGTCCTCTTGTCTGCTCAACAAAGCAGGAGGCCGGGCAGCATAGGTTAGGCTGCGTGTTTGTAGAGATGGAGTCATGTTTGCTGCCTGTATTGAACCTAAATATGATGAGGTAATACATCTATACACCTACATGAAACTGGAGCAAAAGCCTGCTTCTCCTGGCAGGCTGTGACTGGGGGCTACAAGGGTGCGAAGCCTACACTCGGTCAGCCCAGCTGGAACCGCAGCATTTCTCTTCCTTCTGAGCGGCGATATCCTGGCAAAGAAACAACCATGTGCCTGAGTCGTCCTTCGGCGGTTCAGAGTCTGGCATCTCATGCAGTCTGTGGTAGCAGAGCTTCCTGGTGCCTGGCTTGCAGGGCCTGGGCTGGCTATCCGAGCGCTCCCCACCTTCACACGGTGCTCTGGCTGTCCGTTCTAGCTCAAAACAGAGGCTCGGGGTGGCCCATTGGGACATCAGCATCCTGATGACGATCAGAAGCTCTTGCTAACAAGGACTCTGTATTCAAAGGTGCCTCCGTAGCATCTTTCAGTTCAACGTGCCCCTCTTGTTATCCTGCCTAGTGTTTGAAAACAACAACAAGATCGTCATTGTGATGGAGTATGCCAGCAAAGGAGACCTGTACGACTACATCAGCGAGCGGCAGAGGCTGACGGAGCAGGAGGCACGGCACTTCTTCAGGCAGGTTGTGTCTGCCATCTACTACTGTCACAAGGTAAGCAAGCAGCCCCCACCTATGTGTGGGCACTGGTGGCAAAAGGCCATGGTCAGCTCAAACCTGCGCTCACAAATGAGCCTGCACTGGAAGGCCATGAGCAAGTGGGTGCCCACAAAACCCATGAGGGGTTGACCCACCTCTGCTACCTTCTGGCTGCTTGTGAGTGGCTTTTAGCAGGCCTGACGACTCTTCAACCAGCACAGACTGTGGGGGGCAGTTTGGGAGGATTCATATCTTATAGCCAGACTCCGCACCCTTCTAGCCGTGGTGCTGGCAAGTCCAATGATAAAGCAACCCAGAATGAGAACAGAGGGGATTCCTCAAGGTTTTCATCCGAGAATGCTTCAATCTGGAAGAGTTTTGAGTTGCTGCCCACCTGGGAAGGGCTGTATAGGGAGAGCTTAATTTCTTCCATTTCCTCTGCCCCCCCAAAATCTGTTCCGTTGATCCTTACCCACCCTGGAGTGGGATGGGGTGCCTATGCCCCAAGTCTGGGAAAGTGATATGCTTGCCCCAGGCAGAGGAGGCTACCTTTATTCTGGCTGCTTTGCTACTAAGGCGCCAAGCCTCTGACTCTGTTCGTCACAGCATATTATCAACCGTGGGTAAGGGAAACGCCCAGAGCTGTCAACTTAAATTTGAACTCAAATGAAAACTGCAGAACTAGCTAGTTACTTCTGCTAGATCAGTGATGCTGTGCCCATGCAGGGAAGAGCAGCTGGGGGAGCAGGATGAGCCCTTCCATCCTCGTGGCTGAGACGTGTACTGCCCGATGCCCAAGAGACCTCAAACTGCAGAGATCGGCTCAAAACCAGGGGATCAAAAAGTCGCTGGAGGAATAGACCTGGCACAAATATCACCTGGGATTACATTGGTGCTTCTCGGAGGATCTTGGCATCTGTCTTTGATTTCATGCCCTGGTCTCTGAGCCAAGTCCCAGGGGAGTCATGGGAATAGAGGGTGCTCGGTGCTTTTGAGATCAGGGAGACATGGCTAGCTGCATAGTTGTACGTTCCACTTCTGACTGCTCTGGCAATTGGTATCGAACCCTGTCGGTGCACCTGTCCTGGATGAATATGTCTCTGTATAGCTGGGTACCGGAGCATGCCTGAACTCGACAGGGCAGTGCACATACCTTGAGCTTCTCTGTGTGAACCAGCACTAGGGTGGATGTCAAATGGCTCAAGGCCCAGCCTCTGACTAAGGGGTGGGGAGGGTGTCTGCTAGTCGAACTGCCTCCAAGACCTAGTGCAAAAGCACTCCTGACTGCTTCGTAAGCAAAGGCATCTGCTGAGAACCTACTTGTGAAAAATGAGCTTACAGATGCATTGGAGCGTATTAAGTCCTTATCTGTTGCTTATCTCCCCTATGGTGAACTTGAATCTTGTTTAGAGCCCATAAAAATAAATAAAATAAAGCTAATCTCTACCTGCTGCTTGGGTATCTCCACATGTGCTGAATCAGTAAAGGACAGTCACCTACCTGCTGTGATTACTCTCAAGTGCACTGACCTGAACTTCACTTTCTCTCTCCCAACAGAATGGGATTGTTCATAGAGACCTGAAGCTGGAAAACATCCTTCTTGATGCCAATGGCAACATCAAGGTGAGTGAGGCGGGTGGGACCTGGCTGCATATTACTCAACCTAAAATGCATGATGAGCAAGAGTTGCTCTCGGTTCTTCTGATCCTGAAGCTAACCTGCTAGTGAGATCAAGGGTTTCAGCACCAAGCTGGGCTTCATGCAATACCCCAGTGCCTATTGGGGAGAGAGAACCCTAGGAACAGAGTAGTGTCTCCTGGAAATGATGCCTCAAATGGGTTAGGGGGAGGTGAGGAAATTGGTCTCACAGGCCTGGCTCTTGGGAGCATGGCATTAGGACAGTTGCTGAGAGGCTATGCTGACTTATTCATCAGTTGAGCCCTGAGTTCTTGCAGCCAGTTTGCTGCTGCTTCTGGTCACCAAACTGCAGGAACACGTTCTGGAGTGCAGGGTAGCTGATCTCCCTGCCTGAGCAGTGGGGAGTTGCTCCATCTCTCTGAATTTAGAAATTGGGTTGGGGAGGGGTGAGCGCCAATTCATGGTTACGGTGATGCTGGAATAATGAAGGGCTTATCTGCCTGCAGAGCTCCCGTGTAGCCTTGTCAGGAGTTCAAAGGGTCTGCGGTGCTCTGTTGGGATCTTGCTCCGTGCTATCTGCTTTCCAGGACAGGGTGCTAGTGGAGGGGATTAGCATTGCATAAAACCAATTTCTGCGAGTTACATAAATGACCGCTGCTTTGCTGGGCCCCTGTAGCTGCCAGGCCAACAATGTGCAGCCAGTAGCACCAGCAGAAGGGAAAGCAGCAGGCAGTTCCCAGAAATTCCAGCTGCTAAAATCCTCTAGCTGATAAGCAGGCAAAGTAACGATTGAACAGTGGTGTAGCTGCCCAGCATGAGTCCTGTTCCTATCGGAGGAGGAAATGCAGGGAGATTTCTGAGCTAGTAGCTCCCTTCTGGTCTCTAGTGCAGCATCAGCTCTCTGATCCCAGCTTGCAAACTGCTTGACTTGCTCCTTTCTCTTTGCTCTGGCTTGACCTTCTTAGAGCATTTCACTTGCTCAGCCCGCCGTGAACTCCAACGCCTTGCTGTTTGCATGACTCGGCAGTGCTTTTGGTCCTGACCTCAGACTTTGCACTAGCAGTGCTGGACCTGGCTACAGCCACCCTGGGACTTGTCCCTTCCTTGCTGGGAAGGAGGGGTCCAGCCTCCGTGGGGGCACGGCACGGTTAATAATAAACAAAGTGGCAGCGTCTGTTTATCCTCACAATAGGCTCTTTCACAATAGATAATGTGCAAGCATGTACTGTTCCTCCTGGCTTGCTGGAGTGGCCAGAGGCTTGATGAACAAGATAACAAACGGTGCCAGTAGCTCAGGCTTCATAACTACTGAAAGAGGCTCAAAACAGTCCGCCTGTCTCTTGGAGCCCTCTGACTTGCTGGAAGAGCAGCCTGCCCTGAAAATGGGCACAGAGATGGGAGAGACTGGGCATGTCGCTGGCTAAATGGACAAGGCGAGGCTGTACCTCCTGCTGTGCCTGAGTGGCAGTCGTGGCTGTGCTGCTCGGGGCTGGTAGAGCATCCTCATGCTGTGCAAGTAGCATGACCTGACCTGGAGGTTGGGCAAAGGAAGGGCAGTGTGGGTCAGCTCAGTCTGGAGTGGAAAATTGGTTCTGGTCCACTCCTGCGCCCAGCTGAAAGGGGCAAAGTGCTCCAGGATTGACGTGACCCCCTTTGAAACCTAGGGTCCACCTTGCCCTTCAGAACAGGCTTTGGGCTTCTGTAGTCTCGGATAACCTTGGTTTTACAGGTTCCCTAATGAACGCCCACTTGCTTCTCCCCAGATAGCAGACTTTGGTCTGTCTAATGTCTACCAGCAAGACAAATTCCTGCAGACCTTCTGTGGCAGCCCTCTGTATGCATCCCCTGAAATCGTCAATGGGCGGCCGTATAAAGGACCGGAGGTAAGCTTTCATCTCCCACACCTGGAGCAGCTCAAGGGTCCAGCTGTGGTCATTCCTTTCTGTGCTGGAAGTGGGGAGAGGGCCTACCGGCTCCCGGCTCAGTTGCATTGCTGCTAATGCAGGGCTTTCCTCATGTTGCATTTCTCTCCGAGCTGAATTGTGGGCTGGGGGACTGAGACGACCAAGCGTCATGCTCCACTGGCACCACAGGGTGCCAGCTTTCAGGTCACCGGTCTCCTTCCCTGGCATGGCACTCGAGGCCTACAAATCCACTGGGCACGCCCCAATGGGCATACTGGGCAAGGCACAGTCCGCTCAAGAGCATTGTCTCGTAACATCTTTCTCAGTAGCTTGCGCTAAGCAGCAGTTCCTTTGCTGCCGACTGTACCCTGGCAGCACCCACAGGCTGCTCGTGAGGTAGCCAGCAGCTGCTGGAGTTGCTCGCTAGCCCAAGTGCCCTTCAGGGGTCAGCTCGGCAGAGGGCTTTCTGGTTGAACCCTGCCGATGCTAACATGTCTAAACAAAGGGTTGTCTGCATGGCAGGTTGACAGCTGGTCCCTTGGCGTTCTCCTCTACATCTTGGTCCATGGAACGATGCCTTTTGATGGACAAGACTACAAGACCCTGGTCAAGCAGATCACCAGTGGGGACTACAGAGAGCCCACCAAGCTATCGGGTAAGCAGTGCTCCAGTATACTACCTCAGAGCTGCTTATCCTCTTCCCTCCAACCCCTTCGGTGCCCTGTTTTACTGCCCGGCTCTGAGGAATCTTGCTCCATGTTCTAGATGCCAGCGGCCTGATCCGATGGATGCTAATGGTGAACCCAGAGCGCAGAGCCACCATTGAGGACATTGCTAGCCACTGGTGGGTGAACTGGGGCTACAAGGTGCCCATCGGGGAGCAGGAGTCGATGCGGGAGAACGAGTCCCCGCTGGCCACGGTGGCAGACTGGCTCCGGCGCTCCTCCCGGCCTTTGCTCGAGAACAGCTCCAAGGTGCGCTCCTTCTTCAAGCAGCACATCCCTGGCGTCACACTGGAGAGGCAGCGCTCGCTCAAGAAGTCCAAGAAGGAGAACGACGTCTCCCATGCGCTGCAGGAGGTAGCTGCAGTCCCCGACAACCCCTCCAAGTCCATCCTGAAGAGGCCGAAGGGGATCCTGAAGAAAAGGGGTGTCTGTGAACAGAAAGCCCAGGCCCCAATCCCTCAACCAGTGGCTGATGCAAGGAGTGAAGAAGGCGAGATGCAGACTGCAGACCTGGTTCATATCCTGTCCTCCAGGACACTTGCCTGCAGAGTGGACGGTGGTACACCTGCACCGGTGCCCAAGAAGGGAATCCTCAAGAAATCCCAGAAACGTGAATCTGGGTATTACTCTTCCCCAGAGCACTGTGAATCGGAGGAGGTCCTGGACTCGGAGGCCTTGGACCTCAATGCTGATGTCTTCAGCAGTCCCTCTCCTGGCCGTAACCCCGAGGGCCTGCCCCTGCGGAGGAAGGGTATCCTAAAGCACAATGGGAAATACTCTTCCTGTGGCACAGAGCCAGACAGCCGCCTTATCAAGGCCTTTGGGTCCTTTAGTGAGGCACCTCTTCCCAAGCTCCCGCTGGGGTCCCGAGCCCACCCATCCAGCGCCGTGAGTGAGGACAGCATCCTCTCCACGGAGTCCTTTGACCAACTGGACCTGCCTGACAGGATGCCGGACAGTGGCAGCAGCATGCGTGGCTGCGTCTCTGTGGACAACCTCCTCCGGCTGGAGGAGACGGCGGAGGAGTCGGGGCACAGGCTACGCCGCTGGACGGTGACGCACTGCCAGAGCCCCCTCGGGGAAAGCTGCTTCTCCTTGGCGGACTGTGAGAACGTCACCGAGGTCTACAAGCGGGCTGTGGGCATCAGCATGAAGCTCAGCTGAGCACCCCCCCCCTGCATCCTCCCTGCGAGCTCTGAGCCTGACTCTTGCCATAGATTCCCCTCCATGGGAATGTGACTTTTTTTTTTTTCCCTCTGTGGAGGAGGTGACTGTCTTGTTCCTCTCTGAGTAGGGGGGTGCGGGTTGGAAGTGCTGCTGTGACACCCTCAAAGTATTTATTTGCATCCTTGTGCTCCGCCTCAGTGAAAGGTGCATTGGAAGACGGCTTGGCAAAGAGCCTGGCAGCTCCCTGCGGTGTGACAGGGTACGGACAGACATGGGTTTTGGAGGAAATGCTTCTTGCTTGCAGGAGAGGGGATGTAGAGTAACAAGGCAAGTGCAATGAGCAGTAGGGAGTTGGAGCAAGTGCCCATCTCCAGCTGTAGATGACATGAATTGGGGAGGGCTGAAATTTTCAGAGGGGGAAACTAGACTGCTGTTGCAGCGAGGCATCAAGGGAGTGGCATATTTGCCCAGAGAGAGCTGGGCAGAGCGGTACAGGAAAGGGTTAACTGGTACACCCTTGGCTCTGGCAACTCTCCTGGACTCTTCCCCTCTCCACAACTTAGACTTCATGTCAAGGAAGGCATGGGGGTGGCTTGAGACTCTAGTATTGCACTGTCCAAGTGATGGGCTGGAGCAAGAGCAGCATTTCCCACTGGGAGGAGTGGTGGCAGGGGAGGAATCCGTGGGGAGCAGTCTCAACTGGACACTATGGTGTGCCTGGGCCTAGACCGAGACCTGGGTGTGGGTGAAGTCTCTCTCGACCTGAGCCCAACATATCTCTCCCTTCCCTGTTTTGAGAGATGCCTGAACTGGAATAATGCACATCTTTGCATTCATCTCAGAGTTGGGCAGCTGTAACATTACCATCTCCCACCCGGGCAGGGAGCTGTGACAGGTGAGAAAATCTTGTCATAGGCTGAAGGCTGCAGCCTCCCAGCTCTTCGAGGTATTATAGACTGGTCTGGCAGTGGCTCAGACCTCTATACAAGTGTGAAACCACTGCTGCTTGCCATGGGACCGGTTTCTCTTCCTCCCTGCCTCTCCAGGGCCTTTTCGGAGGCAGCACCAGCTGCTGGACAGTGTCTCTGCCTGGAGCGGCCAAGGTGCTGATTTGCAGACTTGATGGAGTTATGTACCCAACTCCTCCGTAAGCTCCCTCTGAGCACTTCTGCCAAGCCCAGCCCTGTCTCTGATGGAGCCTATCATCTGGGCACCTCAGACAAACGGGCATTTATTCCTGCT